ATATATTTATTTATTGTCACAAATGAGTTATTATTGTAGTGATCGATATTTTGCATTTTGTGCATATACAACAGTTTAATTACACTCAATGGACTAAAGTAAAAAAATATAATGCATTCAATACAAAACTATAGAAATAATTTAAGTGTTACCTCGGGTCTCATCCAACGCCCCATTTGGTGTGGTATATCCTTTTATCAATTGCTTGATGCCGCGACTTATAAAAGAAAAAAATAAACGTTTCTTCAATTTTTTGGACAGTATAATTCAAGATCTGTATGTTGAAGGTAGATGTGGTGTTTTTCTCTTGTATTTCCTTCATTTATATAGCACCATTAGCTAGTCCACTATGTATTAATTAGTATACCATTGGAAAATTGGAAAGAGATGATATGGGCTGGATTTTGGTTGCTTCCACCAATCCTCATATGACATTTTCAGTGGGCTGATAATAATAAGTTTTCATTTGGATAGCAATCAAACCAGGTGCTAGTACCTCTTGTTTTTTAGTTGACCTTATTTAGCCATCTAATTCTTGTTGTAAATGCTTCTTTTATAGTCTTGACGACAATTTTAGGTTTTAAAAATTGTTCAAGTACTTTTACAGTTCTTAAAACTAAAAAGTCTGCCGATTAAAAAATTAGTTTCAGCGTGAAATTCAAGCAGAACAATCTTACAATCCATTTGATCTTGAATTGACCATGAAAAAGACAATCATTTCATTGAAATTTAAGAAAATCTATGGGTGCGTCGAAACAAGGGACTTGGTTAATAAGTCAAATACCAAAGAAAATAACTACACTTATTCCAACAATATTTTTAGTTGGCGTTTTACTGTAACAGATTTTTAGTGTTTTTATTTATTTTTTCCAGTGATATTCCATGTACTTCAAATTAAACGCGTAAGAAAAGTAAAGAAATTTTGCAATCACATTATAATCATGTAGTAATTAGTTAGTCTTGTAGAATCAGCATTCATATACTTTGACGGTAATTCTATGTAAATCTAATAGATATCTTATATTATTAGTTGTTGAATTAATGTCAAACATCACTATTAAATAATTCAAGTAGACCATGATCGATCATACTAAATAATCTAATTAACTTGGGATGAAATCAATAATTATGAAAGCGTATGTGTACTTAATTCCTCCTTTCTTTCTTGAATTTAACCCTATATCCCAGTGTGAGCACCTAATTTTTGCCCCACATATGAAATTACTTATAAAAATCTCAAAGAAATAGCTTTTAATTATTCTATAGAATTTTAAGAATTTCTCTATATTTTAGTTGATTTATTTCGTACGTATTTGTGTTTGGTGCATTTTTAGAAGCATTTTAAATCTTAACAAAATAAAAAATATATTTTGATTTTTGCATTTTTAGATTTTAATGGCATAAATTATTGCATTTACAAAACACTAAAATATAAAAAATACATTAGTAACTTTGCATATTTTTGTTAGCTAAAGGAATTAGTTAATTATTAGAAAAATAGGTTATTAGGTTAATTTTGCAAATTAGATGAAATTAGAAGTGTTAAATAAATTAATTATTTTTGAAAATTAAAAGAAAGGAAAGAAAGAGGCTATTTGCGTTGTCTTCAAATTGGCCCAATCACCCGCCTGGCCCAAATCTTCTCTTCATTAATTTACCGCGATCTCTCATTCTCACACACACAAGAGACGGAGGTCCCCATTTTCTATTGTCAGGTATGTCAGATTCTCATGTAGTCATCTTATGGGTGTTAAACGAGTGGGCCGGGCGGAGCCGGGCTGGGTTGCTATTTTTTGGACCCGTACGAGTTACGGTCCGGGCCGGTTACGGGTTGGGCTTAACGGATTTAACGGGTTCAGGTTCATCCGGGTAAAAATTGAACTGTAAGGGTTACGGGTTGAGGGGGCCGGACCGGGCCGGGTTTAGTGTATTTTTAAATTTTCTTTTTTTTGTATTTTGTATAACTATTGTAAGTTATATTAATACAAAGTATTAACATAAAGAATACAAGGAAGATGAGAAAAAATTGCACTTATAAATTGCAAGTGCTACATTTATTTTAAAATTCTAACTTACAAATTGAAAGGCTTACATTTAACAACAAGTAAATTAACCAAAAAAGAGTAAATTCAAAGGTTTTGCATTGCCTTAGTAAGTTCTTCATAATCAATATGAACTGAATGACCTTCTTCTGGAGTGTTAAATTCGGATTGGTTACCATGTGTTAATATATCTCCAAGTTCCTCGTCTTCTGGGCTATCAACATATTCACGTCCTTGATTTCTTCGTTCCGATCTAATCCAATCTCTGAAACATACTAAAACTTCCAAAGCATTGCTTCCCAATGAGTGACGGGTGTCTCCAAGTTGTTGTCTTGCTTGGCTAAATGCACTCTCCGATGCAACTGTAGAAATTGGCACATTCAGCACGTCCCGAGCCATAGCGAAAAGAACAGGAAATTGCTTTCCATTCTCATGCCACCATCCCAACAGTGAAAATTCCTTTGTGCGAGGCTCTTTTTGCTTCTGCAAGTAGAATTGAAGTTCATCAATGTTCCTGCTACTGGTTTGAGTGTTAGAAAATGTAGAAAAAATATTAAAACTATCAAGGCCTTCTTCATCATCCACAGTAGCAGAAGTGCTACAGTACATAGTGGGATTAACATTGCCTACAGTACGAGCATCATCATCAATTACATTTGCATAATAATTATATAATTGTTGTAAATAATCATTTAGCTTGTTCATAGAAACATATAAATCTGGGCTTTCAGTTTGTCCAATCTCCATATAAGTATATAAAGCATTCATTAATTGGTGACATTCAGACATCTTAATAGAAGGATTTAAAACAGCACCAATTAAGTAAATCGGAGGAATTGGAAAGAAATATTTTTTGAATTTTGCTTGCATTTTTTCCAACATCCTTATATTGTTCTTTCTTCTTAAATTCAAAGAGTAGAAAAGAAATTTCAGCTATATGTACTAAAGCCATAGTAACAGTAGGTTAATATGCTCCAGAAAACTCAACAGTAGCTTTATAAAATTTATGTAAAAATTTAACAACATCATTAGTGACCTCCCAAGTACTAGTTGTTAACATACGGTTTGGATCAGTACAATGCGTATTAGCAACTTCAGTTATTGGGAATCTATATTTGTAGCAACATTTTAAAAATATATATGTATAATTCCATCTAGTAACAATTTCGTCTGGCATGAATCTGGGTTTAAGGTTATACTGGACACACTTATTCTTAAATTCCTTTATTTTAGATTGTCTATTATTTTCCTGAATAACACCAACTGCTCTTCTAACATGAGTAATCTCAGTTGAAAATAAATCAACGCCACTTTAACAATTAAATTATAAACATGACATGCACACCTAACATGAAAAATTTCACCAAGAGGTGGTTGCAAATGCAGTTTTAATATTAAAATTGCGGCATTATTGTTAGAAGCATTATCAAAAGATATACACAATACTTTTTGGTTAAGATTATAAAATTGAACAACTTCATTAATAGTACTACTTATAAACACAGAAGTATGACTCTGATCTTCATCATATCTAAAAGCGATAATGCGTTTTTGCATACAAGTAGTATCATCTATCCAATGACATATAATTGTCAAATAATCATTTCCATTAACAGCATGGCCAATATCAGAAGTTAGAGAAACTCTACAGGGAAGGTGTTCAAATAAATAACGTATGTATGTTTGATATTGACCATGCAATCTAAAAATATCAGCTCTACAAGTACTTCTAGGGATACCTTCAAATAAAGGATTATAAATCCTTTGATTATACATAATAAGATATGATGAAGAAGCAAAAGAAAAAGGTAGACAACCCAAAGCAATCATTTTTGCTAACTCCTCACGATCCTTCACTTTATCATATTTCATAAGTCCTCCAGTAGTAGGGTTAAGAGTTTTTTGATTTCCATCACCATCAGAGCTCCATTCTATGGGATGTTCAATTCTCATATGTCTACTAAGCGTCCCAGTCCCCCCTAAATTTCCTCCAGTCAAATGTTTAAAATCATATTTAAAAAGTTTGCATCCAACTCTGTCAGTACCTTGAATTATTTCAAAAAAATTCCAGCCTTACTTCTTTTTCTACGATTAGTAGTCAGAGCTACAGGTGGTCTACTACTAGTGCCACGACAACCACCCCTTGTAGCAACTCCAACACTACCAGCTCAAGCACTAGTAGGTGTAGTTGGTATCTCATCTTCCATTCCTAATTCATTATCTTCTATTCCAAAATCTTCTTGTAATTGTTCATAATCTATATTATCATTAGGCGATGTTTCGGAAACATGTGTAAATGGGGTATTACTATTACTACCAGATGCTGAAGCACTACTTCTTTTTTTATTTTCCCTACCAGTAACTTTTCTACACGCTCTTTTAGCAGCATTCAACATATTGTAAAAATTAAAGTATAAGCTAAAATTAAATATGCAATTAAAATAGTAAATAAGAGAAAGAGTTGTAGGGAGTGCACCGAATTCGACAAAATTGATCACTTGATTACGCAATTCCGATGTTACCACGAACAAACGTCAAGCAAGTATTTTAATTTTGAACTTCAATTGTTCAAACTTCAAATTCCGAATGATAAAACACGATAAATTAAATTCAAGAAAAGAGAGCCAAATAAAATTAGAAGATGAAATGATGAATTGAAGACTTGAAGTCTTGCAAATTAGAGAATGAGAGAATGAGAGAAATTGAGATTGAGAAATGAGTATTGAGTGAAGAAATGAAGAGGGGGGGGGGGTATTTATAGTTTTAGAGAAGGTTAGTTTTGTAAATTGAAAAAGGGTTAAAAACTAAAAAAAAAAGGCTATTTATGCAATATTTCCGTTGGCCAACGGACCAAATCAAGGTCTGACCGTTGCCAACGGTCAGTGGGGCCCACAAATTTCGAAAATTAAAAAAAAAAACCAAAAAAAAACTAGCCGTTTGAACCGGGCCGGTTAACCCGGTAAGAGTTACTATTCACACTTCCGGGTTCAACCGGGCCGGTTACACGTTTTCAAAAACTTAAACGAACCAACCCCCCTAACCCCCCCTACCCAGCCCAGCCCAGTCCCCTTTAACCGGTCCGGGTCGGTTCCGGGTTTAACCGGTCTGTGCCGGTCCGAAACCGGGTCAACCCGGCCCGTTTAACACCCTTAAGTCATCTACCAAATCTATAAAATAAAATCTAAATTGTTTAGTATTATATATAGATATGTTCTCGGTTTTTGACTTAAATTCTGTCATGGATAAAATTGTTGTTAGTTCTTAATTGTTTCAAAATTAATCTTGCAAATCGTGTGCTTCTACCATCACTATCTTGAGTTTTCGATTTAG